GCATAGTGATTTGTTCCTTTGCAGTTGTGACAAATGATCACTTCTTCATCACTATCATCCTTTTGACTTTTAATCGGAAGTCTTTCAAAGAGTTTGAGTTTGGGCTTGTTGGGAAGGTTGAGAATGGTTTTGTTGGAATCCAAAATTTTGGTTGTTTTGAAAACCATTGTTTTGATTGTTGTAACCTTGATTTTGGAAACCTCTATTTTGATTTTGAAAACTGTTGTTTGGATTGTGATTATGACCTGAGTTGGGATCGTTTTGAAATCCCTGGTTTTGAAAACCTTGGTTTGAGTTATTTTGGAAAGAAGGTCTTTGAGAATTTTGTCCAAAGTAAGGTCTAGGTTGAAAACCTGAGTTGTTTTGACCAAAAGATGGTCTTGGTTGAAAACTTGAGTTATTTTGTCCAAAAGATGGTCTTGGTTGAAAATTTGGTCTAAAATTTGATTGACCATGATTTGGGATAAATCTCTGGAGATTTGTGTTTGCAACCAACGCACACAGTTGTTGATAATCTGCTTCATCATTTGAATCAGACTGGAAGGCTTGATTTTGAAAAGATGTAGTCTGATTAAAATGATTAAGGTTTTGATCATTGAAAGGTGTTTGGTTTTGAGAAGTTGTGGACACAAGTGCAAGTGGTCCTCCAAAAGCTGCAATGGTTGGTGGGTCAATCGAGGATTCATACGATTGAAGTTCTCCATACAAGTTGTACAAAGTTTCAGTATGAATAGCTGGATTTCCCTGAATAATGAGTTTAACCATTTTCCAGCTTTCGAAAAGATTGTTTAAAAACTTGAGATTTATCTCGTGTTGTGTCTTTTTGATACCCAAATTGTTCATTTTAACCATAATCAAATTGAACCTATCATGAGCATCATGGATGGTTTCTGATGAAAGCATTTTGAAATTATCGAATTCATTCAAAACAGATGTTCTTTTGTTTCCGATAATTCTTTTATTTCCACAAAAACGATTTTTCAAATTCTCCCAAATTTGATTTGCGGTTAACAGTATAATGTCATCCATTTGACTTAGAATACTGTGAGGTATTCCAGAAACAAGTTCCTTTTTGGCTTGGAGTTCCAACTTTTTTGTAATTTCAACTTGAGTGGCTTGATTTGTAGCAAGAGTAGCCATATTTTCTGGAGTAACATATGTTCCTTCTACACACTTCCAGACATCTTCATTTATAGCATTAAGATGAAGATTCATACGGCCAACCCACGAATTATACTCTTCAGGAATAAGTATGGGTGCCCGTGAACCAGATCCTAAGCTATTTGCAATGGAGACAGAGTTCATGTTGGAGTAATTTGCCAAAGACATTTTTGAAAGGATTTTGAACAAGTGATATTAAAATGAAATTTTTAAAGAAAAGCTTATGGAAGGTTTATAAACGCTATAACCAAAAGTTTTTCGACAAAAATTTCAAGGTAAATCACACAAGCTCTGATACCAATTGTTGGATATTATTCCTTTTATATATCAGCTCAGATACCGATTTGTTGGAAATATAACAATCTGATCACCACAACAAAAGGCTCGGTTACCAGTTACTGTGTGATAGATATATTAGTTTAAGATATAAGATAGATATATATATATATATATATATATATATATATATATATATATATATATATATATATATATAAAGAATAATAATTGCGGAATAAGTATAAATATAAAAGCTGTAAATGACTGAAAGCTATAATAATATAAATGACTGTATTTAAATGACGTAAAGCTATAAATAATATAAATGACTGTATTTAAATGACATAAAGCTATAAATAATATAAATGACTATATTTAAATGACATAAAGCTATAATAAAGTATATAAATATATAAATATATATCAAGTAGGTTCGTCAATAAATTGACTGAACCGGACTCATGAAACGACTGGTCGATATTTGTTCTTTGAATGGACTGATCGATATTGGGACTCTTGGAGCGACTGGTCGATATATGTTCTTTGAATGGACTGGTCGATATTGGGACTCTTGGAGCGACTGGTCTATTTTTGTTCAAAGATCAATCCGGCATTGGATAAGTAACAAAAAGTTCATTTAAAGCTCGATTTTATGTAAAACAAGTGTTTACAAAAGGGTACAAAATACATGGGTTTATGTATTTGTATTTGAAGTATTTTGGGTAAAAACATGCACACGGGTCGTGTAAGATAAGGCACAAGTGACACGGGTCATGTAGGAGGTTTTTAGAAGGTTTTAAAGGTCAAAATCCTGAACACGGGTCGTGTTGATTTAGGCAAAAACAACACGGGTTGTGTTCGCGCAGATCCTTGCATACACAGATTAAAAACCTTCAGTTTTCAGAAAATCTCTCTGGATAGCCATTTCTCTCTCGCGTCTCTCTGGGGTTTCATGTGGTCAAAATCGTCCACGAAAATTCCTAGATGAAGGTAAGGTTCTAAAGAATTTGTGGTGAAAATCTCCCTAGTCTTATTTTGGCTGTGTTGTGCTCGGTTTTCTGTTTTCTAACATGCAGATTCTGAACTTGAAAACAGAAATCTCTCTGGATAGCCAATTCTCTCTCGCGTCTCTTTGGGGTTTCCCGTGGTCAAAATCGTCCACGAAAATTTCTAGATGTAGGTAAGGTCCTGAAGAATTGATGGTGAAAATCTCCCTAGTCTTTTTGTGCTTGTAACGAGCCCAGTTTTCTTCGTTTTTGACTTGAAGATTCTGATGTCGAAAAACAGCAAGGTGGTGATGGTTGTGGTGATTTGAAAGGGTTTTTGGAGGAGGTTTAAGGAGGGTATTTGGAGGGTGTTTGGAGATTATTTTGAGATTGGAAGGAGGTTAATATAAGGGAGGTGTTTGGTGGTAAATGGTGTGATGAACAAGGATAGTGAAGATGAAGAACCTTGAGTTTCAATGAAGAAGATGAAGATGGTTGATGGTGTTCTTCATTTTCTTGTTGATGATCTTGGTGTTCTTCACTTCATTGTTGTTTGATCTTGGTGTTCTTCATTTTCTCCAGGGATTTGTCTTTGTTCTTGAAGAAGATGATGATTTGTGATGTTCTTGGGAGTGTTTGTAGTTTGTAGGAAGTGTTACAAGATTACAAAAATGAACACACCCTTACACACACAAACTCATGTATACATATATGCATGAAACAAATATCTTCTAGTGCACTTGAGTATATGGAGAGTTGGCTGCAAGTTGATGTAGAGTAGGAGGCAAAAAAACGTGGGTCTTCATTTAGCTTCTTATTTCCTTGACTTTGTTTGACTTCCTTCTTTGTTTGACTATTCAACATATATACAACATATATATGATACATATATACATATATAATACATACATATGTATATAATACACACACACATATATATATATATATATATATATATATATATATATATATTGTTGAATTTGTTTAGTCACACATATGTGTTTTCGTCATTCGCGTGTTTTCGTATTTTCCGTTTTATCACGCATTCATGCAACCTGAAATAACTGATAATATTTGTTAGATTGTATAAAAACAGTTCATCTTATTTCAGTGATGGTCACATACTAGGTTACATAAGAACATTTTTCAACATAGGCGTTTGTGTCACTGTATAAGGTTTATTAGGTTAAGGGTATGTCGGTCAATTTTATTAAATGGTAAAATAAAGACTTCAAATTACATCTTTAATACATTGCTTCTTGATCAAAATCAAACTAGTCGATTTGATTATTTTTTTCCAGAACGACACAGAAACACAATTAAATATTCAAATTAATTTCCAAAATCAAGCTAATCGATTTGATTATTTTTTTCTAGAATCAACCAAAATGAATTTCTTTACAGAAGCAATACAAGGTATCTCATAACTAGAAGTCCACTGTGAATCAGAAATCGTGTTGCAGAGATAGAGAGGAGATTAGAGAAGAAACTAATGATGAAGGAGGCTGGAGACGACGATTGCGATGGAGGACGATGCTGGAGGAGGAGGCTGGAGTTTGAGGAGGAAGCGGTGGAGCTAGCTGTCCTTGCGTTCGTTCTTTGGCGATGGGGAAGAAGAGCTGCGAAGGATTACGCAGATTTTGGGAGGAGAAGGGCAAACAAATGATTTTACTCGGTCAGGTCTTTTTTTTTTTTGACGGACCGAATATGCAACTATTAGCGGACCAAGTCAGAGATATGGACCGGATCAAATGTAAAACAAACAATCTGAAAAACCTCTGACCCAACCCAGTCAGCATCTAATCAACCAGGCTCTAAGGGTATATCGGTCAATTTTATTAAATGGTAAAATAAAGACTTTTTGATAAGTAAAGGTATCAAAAAGACAAAATTATATAAATGGTTATCGTGGTTTATCAAAAATAATAATAATTTTAGTCTCTTTTATTAATTTATTTTGACGAACATGATGTTTATGAATTTTAAACCATATGAAATTATATAAATGGTTATTGTGGTTTATCAAAAATAATAATAAGTCAATCACCTTACTCTTGGAAAATCACGTGAGTATGCAATTAGGATTTGACAAATCACATGAGTATTTTAACAGCTTTTGGAAAGAAAATTGAAATACTAAAGGAGGAGCAAAATGAGGCTTTTGGAAAGAAAATTGAAATACTAAAGGAGGAGCAAAATGTTACATAATCACTTCATAGTTTCCAAATTCCTTCAAGAGTTGCAAAAAATCAAAAACTTGAAGTAAAGACAAAAAAAAATACGAAAATTTGAAGTTAAATCAATCAGAAAATTCATTAACCCAATTTTAAGGTCTGATTTCACATCCTCATAGTTATCTTCAATAGATTTTTCATCTCAATTAAGCAATAAAGTCGTTAACAGAGACAGCTAGGTAAGAAATTTTACGAACATTAAGGCAAAGCATATGATTTCAAGAAAAGAATTTGATTTCTACCAACATCACAAATATTCCAATGAAAATAATCGAGTTTTAGGGAAAGAAAACAGTTACTTGTGTTGTTGACGAGAGACCTGTAGGGCTTCACTTCGGCGATGGCGGTAGTTGAGGAGGCAACGTCACCGACGGAGGCAAAGGCGGAAGAGAGATCGCTGGAGGAGTGGTGGTCGGCTGATGGCGGAAGGGCCGGTCATCTGGTTGCAGTTCGGAGATGCAGTGGGGGAGGCAGCGCCGTGTGTGTTGAAAGAGAAGAGGGGACTGGGAAAAGTGAAGGGCAAGCTTGGATAGGAGCGTGAACCCTGGAACCCTGGAAACCCTAGGTTATTTCGAAATTAATAACGAAAAGATTACATAACTTATTCTTGTTATTGTAAATATTGTAGTATGGTTCTTATGATTCAAAATCAGAGGATGAACACACGAACAAACCAAGAAAATAGGGAAGATGAACAACAACTAACCCGGAAAAAGCTTTAAATTAAATAGAAAGAACGTTAAAAATATATATATATAAAGAAAGAACATTAAAAAAGGCAGTTTACTAGGCCCTATATTTTTTATAAATAAAACGTCAAATTAAATAGAAAGAACATTAAAAAAAATTATAAAAAATGTATTTTATTTTTTTTCAGTTTTCCGAAAGAAAAAACTACAAACAACTTAAAATGACCACCAATCCAAAAAAATTGGAATTTGGATCAAAACCCAGAAAAAATGCATAATATAGGGATATTTTTGTAGTTTTGTTTATTTAAAATTCAAGACAGAAACATATTTTTATTTTTAACACAAAACAAAAACCTATATCTTGAAACCAAAACAAAAACCAATAAATACTCTTTCCATCATTGATTGTCTTCCGTTTTCCAATATATTTGATTCAAAAACCAATATCTTCAAACCATCTTATATATTACTTAAAATTAACAAAAATACACTTACAGGCAAAATATATAAGTTCCTAAAAAAAATAGTTTTTTAAATAAACAAATATAAGGTTTATTAGGTTAAGGGTATGTCGGTCAATTTTATTAAATGGTAAAATAAAGACTTCAAATTACATCTTTAATACATTGCTTCTTGATCAAAATCAAACTAGTCGATTTGATTATTTTTTTCCAGAACGACACAGAAACACAATTAAATATTCAAATTAATTTCCAAAATCAAGCTAATCGATTTGATTATTTTTTTCTAGAATCAACCAAAATGAATTTCTTTACAGAAGCAATACAAGGTATCTCATAACTAGAAGTCCACTGTGAATCAGAAATCGTGTTGCAGAGATAGAGAGGAGATTAGAGAAGAAACTAACGATGAAGGAGGCTGGAGACGACGATTGCGATGGAGGACGATCCTGGAGGAGGAGGCCGGAGTTTGAGGAGGAAGCGGTGGAGCTAGCTGTCCTTGCGTTCGTTCTTTGGCGACGGGGAAGAAGAGCTGCGAAGGATTACGCAGATTTTGGGAGGAGAAGGGCAAACAAATGATTTTACTCGGTCAGGTCTTTTTTTTTTTGACGGACCGAATATGCAACTATTAGCGGACCAAGTCAGAGATATGGACCGGATCAAATGCAAAACAAACAATCTGAAAAACCTCTGACCCAACCCAGTCAGCATCTAATCAACCAGGCTCTAAGGGTATATCGGTCAATTTTATTAAATGGTAAAATAAAGACTTTTTGATAAGTAAAGGTATCAAAAAGACAAAATTATATAAATGGTTATCGTGGTTTATCAAAAATAATAATAATTTTAGTCTCTTTTATTAATTTATTTTGACGAACATGATGTTTATGAATTTTAAACCATATGAAATTATATAAATGGTAATTGTGGTTTATCAAAAATAATAATAAGTCAATCACCTTACTCTTGGAAAATCACGTGAGTATGCAACTAGGATTTGACAAATCACATGAGTATTTTAACAGCTTTTGGAAAGAAAATTGAAATACTAAAGGAGGAGCAAAATGTTACATAATCACTTCATAGTTTCCAAATTCCTTCAAGAGTTGCAAAAAATCAAAAACTTGAAGTAAAGACAAAAAAAATACGAAAATTTGAAGTTAAATCAATCAGAAAATTCATTAACCCAATTTTAAGGTCTGATTTCACATCCTCATAGTTATCTTCAATAGATTTTTCATCTCAATTAAGCAATAAAGTCGTTAACAGAGACAGCTAGGTAAGAAATTTTACGAACATTAAGGCAAAGCATATGATTTCAAGAAAAGAATTTGATTTCTACCAACATCACAAATATTCCAATGAAAATAATCGAGTTTTAGGGAAAGAAAACAGTTACTTGTGTTGTTGACGAGAGACCTGTAGGGCTTCACTTCGGCGATGGCGGTAGTTGAGGAGGCAACGTCACCGACGGAGGCAAAGGCGGAAGAGAGATCGCTGGAGGAGTGGTGGTCGGCTGATGGCGGAAGGGCCGGTCATCTGGTTGCAGTTCGGAGATGCAGTGGGGAGGCAGCGCCGTGTGTGTTGAAAGAGAAGAGGGGACTGGGAAAAGTGAAGGGCAAGCTTGGATAGGAGCGTGAACCCTGGAACCCTGGAAACCCTAGGTTATTTCGAAATTAATAACGAAAAGATTACATAACTTATTCTTGTTATTGTAAATATTGTAGTATGGTTCTTATGATTCAAAATCAGAGGATGAACACACGAACAAACCAAGAAAATAGGGAAGATGAACAACAACTAACCCGGAAAAAGCTTTAAATTAAATAGAAAGAACGTTAAAAATATATATATAAAGAAAGAACATTAAAAAAGGCAGTTTACTAGGCCCTATATTTTTTATAAATAAAACGTCAAATTAAATAGAAAGAACATTAAAAAAAAATTATAAAAAATGTATTTTATTTTTTTTTCAGTTTTCCGAAAGACAAAACTACAAACAACTTAAAATGACCACCAATCCAAAAAAATTGGAATTTGGATCAAAACCCAGAAAAAATGCATAATATAGGGATATTTTTGTAGTTTTGTTTATTTAAAATTCAAGACAGAAACATATTTTTATTTTTAACACAAAACAAAAACCTATATCTTGAAACCAAAACAAAAACCAATAAATACTCTTTCCATCATTGATTGTCTTCCGTTTTCCAATATATTTGATTCAAAAACCAATATCTTCAAACCATCTTATATATTACTTAAAATTAACAAAAATACACTTACAGGCAAAATATATAAGTTCCTAAAAAAAATAGTTTTTTAAATAAACAAATATAAGGTTTATTAGGTTAAGGGTATGTCGGTCAATTTTATTAAATGGTAAAATAAAGACTTCAAATTACATCTTTAATACATTGCTTCTTGATCAAAATCAAACTAGTCGATTTGATTATTTTTTTCCAGAACGACACAGAAACACAATTAAATATTCAAATTAATTTCCAAAATCAAGCTAATCGATTTGATTATTTTTTTCTAGAATCAACCAAAATGAATTTCTTTACAGAAGCAATACAAGGTATCTCATAACTAGAAGTCCACTGTGAATCAGAAATCGTGTTGCAGAGATAGAGAGGAGATTAGAGAAGAAACTAACGATGAAGGAGGCTGGAGACGACGATTGCGATGGAGGACGATCCTGGAGGAGGAGGCCGGAGTTTGAGGAGGAAGCGGTGGAGCTAGCTGTCCTTGCGTTCGTTCTTTGGCGACGGGGAAGAAGAGCTGCGAAGGATTACGCAGATTTTGGGAGGAGAAGGGCAAACAAATGATTTTACTCGGTCAGGTCTTTTTTTTTTGACAGACCGAATATGCAACTATTAGCGGACCAAGTCAGATATGGACCGGATCAAATGCAAAACAAACAATCTGAAAAACCTCTGACCCAACCCAGTCAGCATCTAATCAACCAGGCTCTAAGGGTATATCGGTCAATTTTATTAAATGGTAAAATAAAGACTTTTTGATAAGTAAAGGTATCAAAAAGACAAAATTATATAAATGGTTATCGTGGTTTATCAAAAATAATAATAATTTTAGTCTCTTTTATTAATTTATTTTGACGAACATGATGTTTATGAATTTTAAACCATATGAAATTATATAAATGGTAATTGTGGTTTATCAAAAATAATAATAAGTCAATCACCTTACTCTTGGAAAATCACGTGAGTATGCAACTAGGATTTGACAAATCACATGAGTATTTTAACAGCTTTTGGAAAGAAAATTGAAATACTAAAGGAGGAGCAAAATGTTACATAATCACTTCATAGTTTCCAAATTCCTTCAAGAGTTGCAAAAAATCAAAAACTTGAAGTAAAGACAAAAAAAAATACGAAAATTTGAAGTTAAATCAATCAGAAAATTCATTAACCCAATTTTAAGGTCTGATTTCACATCCTCATAGTTATCTTCAATAGATTTTTCATCTCAATTAAGCAATAAAGTCGTTAACAGAGACAGCTAGGTAAGAAATTTTACGAACATTAAGGCAAAGCATATGATTTCAAGAAAAGAATTTGATTTCTACCAACATCACAAATATTCCAATGAAAATAATCGAGTTTTAGGGAAAGAAAACAGTTACTTGTGTTGTTGACGAGAGACCTGTAGGGCTTCACTTCGGCGATGGCGGTAGTTGAGGAGGCAACGTCACCGACGGAGGCAAAGGCGGAAGAGAGATCGCTGGAGGAGTGGTGGTCGGCTGATGGCGGAAGGGCCGGTCATCTGGTTGCAGTTCGGAGATGCAGTGGGGGAGGCAGCGCCGTGTGTGTTGAAAGAGAAGAGGGGACTGGGAAAAGTGAAGGGCAAGCTTGGATAGGAGCGTGAACCCTGGAAACCCTAGGTTATTTCGAAATTAATAACGAAAAGATTACATAACTTATTCTTGTTATTGTAAATATTGTAGTATGGTTCTTATGATTCAAAATCAGAGGATGAACACACGAACAAACCAAGAAAATAGGGAAGATGAACAACAACTAACCCGGAAAAAGCTTTAAATTAAATAGAAAGAACGTTAAAAATATATATATAAAGAAAGAACATTAAAAAAGGCAGTTTACTAGGCCCTATATTTTTTATAAATAAAACGTCAAATTAAATAGAAAGAACATTAAAAAAAATTATAAAAAATGTATTTTATTTTTTTTCAGTTTTCCGAAAGACAAAACTACAAACAACTTAAAATGACCACCAATCCAAAAAAATTGGAATTTGGATCAAAACCCAGAAAAAATGCATAATATAGGGATATTTTTGTAGTTTTGTTTATTTAAAATTCAAGACAGAAACATATTTTTATTTTTAACACAAAACAAAAACCTATATCTTGAAACCAAAACAAAAACCAATAAATACTCTTTCCATCATTGATTGTCTTCCGTTTTCCAATATATTTGATTCAAAAACCAATATCTTCAAACCATCTTATATATTACTTAAAATTAACAAAAATACACTTACAGGCAATATATATAAGTTCCTAAAAAAAAATAGTTTTTTAAATAAACAAATATAAGGTTTATTAGGTTAAGGGTATGTCGGTCAATTTTATTAAATGGTAAAATAAAGACTTCAAATTACATCTTTAATACATTGCTATCAAAATCAAACTAGTCGATTTGATTATTTTTTTGAACGAACAGATTTTATGCAAATTAATTTCCAAAATCAAGCTATGATTTATTATTTTTTTCTAGAATCAACCAAATGAATTTCTTTACAGAAGCAATACATATCTCATAACTAATCACTGTGAATCAGAAATCGTGTTGCAAGATACAGAGGATTAGACAAGCTAACGATGAAGGAGGCTGGAAACGATTGAAATACTAAAGGAGGAGCAAAATGTTACATAATCACTTCATAGTTTCCAAATTCCTTCAAGAGTTGCAAAAAATCAAAAACTTGAAGTAAAGACAAAAAAAAATACGAAAATTTGAAGTTAAATCAATCAGAAAATTCATTAACCCAATTTTAAGGTCTGATTTCACATCCTCATAGTTATCTTCAATAGATTTTTCATCTCAATTAAGCAATAAAGTCGTTAACAGAGACAGCTAGGTAAGAAATTTTACGAACATTAAGGCAAAGCATATGATTTCAAGAAAAGAATTTGATTTCTACCAACATCACAAATATTCCAATGAAAATAATCGAGTTTTAGGGAAAGAAAACAGTTACTTGTGTTGTTGACGAGAGACCTGTAGGGCTTCACTTCGGCGATGGCGGTAGTTGAGGAGGCAACGTCACCGACGGAGGCAAAGGCGGAAGAGAGATCGCTGGAGGAGTGGTGGTCGGCTGATGGCGGAAGGGCCGGTCATCTGGTTGCAGTTCGGAGATGCAGTGGGGGAGGCAGCGCCGTGTGTGTTGAAAGAGAAGAGGGGACTGGGAAAAGTGAAGGGCAAGCTTGGATAGGAGCGTGAACCCTGGAAACCCTAGGTTATTTCGAAATTAATAACGAAAAGATTACATAACTTATTCTTGTTATTGTAAATATTGTAGTATGGTTCTTATGATTCAAAATCAGAGGATGAACACACGAACAAACCAAGAAAATAGGGAAGATGAACAACAACTAACCCGGAAAAAGCTTTAAATTAAATAGAAAGAACGTTAAAAATATATATATAAAGAAAGAACATTAAAAAAGGCAGTTTACTAGGCCCTATATTTTTTATAAATAAAACGTCAAATTAAATAGAAAGAACATTAAAAAAAATTATAAAAAATGTATTTTATTTTTTTTCAGTTTTCCGAAAGACAAAACTACAAACAACTTAAAATGACCACCAATCCAAAAAAATTGGAATTTGGATCAAAACCCAGAAAAAATGCATAATATAGGGATATTTTTGTAGTTTTGTTTATTTAAAATTCAAGACAGAAACATATTTTTATTTTTAACACAAAACAAAAACCTATATCTTGAAACCAAAACAAAAACCAATAAATACTCTTTCCATCATTGATTGTCTTCCGTTTTCCAATATATTTGATTCAAAAACCAATATCTTCAAACCATCTTATATATTACTTAAAATTAACAAAAATACACTTACAGGCAATATATATAAGTTCCTAAAAAAAAATAGTTTTTTAAATAAACAAATATAAGGTTTATTAGGTTAAGGGTATGTCGGTCAATTTTATTAAATGGTAAAATAAAGACTTCAAATTACATCTTTAATACATTGCTTCTTGATCAAAATCAAACTAGTCGATTTGATTATTTTTTTCCAGAACGACACAGAAACACAATTAAATATGCAAATTAATTTCCAAAATCAAGCTAATCGATTTGATTATTTTTTTCTAGAATCAACCAAAATGAATTTCTTTACAGAAGCAATACAAGGTATCTCATAACTAGAAGTCCACTGTGAATCAGAAATCGTGTTGCAGAGATACAGAGGAGATTAGAGAAGAAACTAACGATGAAGGAGGCTGGAGACGACGATTGCGATGGAGGACGATGCTGGAGGAGGAGGCCGGAGTTTGAGGAGGAAGCGGTGGAGCTAGCTGTCCTTGCGTTCGTTCTTTGGCGACGGGGAAGAAGAGCTGCGAAGGATTACGCAGATTTTGGGAGGAGAAGGGCAAACAAATGATTTTACTCGGTCAGGTCTTTTTTTTTTGACGGACCGAATATGCAACTATTAGCGGACCAAGTCACAGATATGGACCGGATCAAATGCAAAACAAACAATCTGAAAAACCTCTGACCCAACCCAGTCAGCATCTAATCAACCAGGCTCTAAGGGTATATCGGTCAATTTTATTAAATGGTAAAATAAAGACTTTTTGATAAGTAAAGGTATCAAAAAGACAAAATTATATAAATGGTTATCGTGGTTTATCAAAAATAATAATAATTTTAGTCTCTTTTATTAATTTATTTTGACGAACATGATGTTTATGAATTTTAAACCATATGAAATTATATAAATGGTTATTGTGGTTTATCAAAAATAATAATAAGTCAATCACCTTACTCTTGGAAAATCACGTGAGTATGCAACTAGGATTTGACAAATCACATGAGTATTTTAACAGCTTTTGGAAAGAAAATTGAAATACTAAAGGAGGAGCAAAATGTTACATAATCACTTCATAGTTTCCAAAGTCCTTCAAGAGTTGCAAAAAATCAAAAACTTGAAGTAAAGACAAAAAAAAATACGAAAATTTGAAGTTAAATCAATCAGAAAATTCATTAACCCAATTTTAAGGTCTGATTTCACATCCTCATAGTTATCTTCAATAGATTTTTCATCTCAATTAAGCAATAAAGTCGTTAACAGAGACAGCTAGGTAAGAAATTTTACGAACATTAAGGCAAAGCATATGATTTCAAGAAAAGAATTTGATTTCTACCAACATCACAAATATTCCAATGAAAATAATCGAGTTTTAGGGAAAGAAAACAGTTACTTGTGTTGTTGACGAGAGACCTGTAGGGCTTCACTTCGGCGATGGCGGTAGTTGAGGAGGCAACGTCACCGACGGAGGCAAAGGCGGAAGAGAGATCGCTGGAGGAGTGGTGGTCGGCTGATGGCGGAAGGGCCGGTCATCTGGTTGCAGTTCGGAGATGCAGTGGGGGAGGCAGCGCCGTGTGTGTTGAAAGAGAAGAGGGGACTGGGAAAAGTGAAGGGCAAGCTTGGATAGGAGCGTGAACCCTGGAACCCTGGAAACCCTAGGTTATTTCGAAATTAATAACGAAAAGATTACATAACTTATTCTTGTTATTGTAAATATTGTAGTATGGTTCTTATGATTCAAAATCAGAGGATGAACACACGAACAAACCAAGAAAATAGGGAAGATGAACAACAACTAACCCGGAAAAAGCTTTAAATTAAATAGAAAGAACGTTAAAAATATATATATAAAGAAAGAACATTAAAAAAGGCAGTTTACTAGGCCCTATATTTTTTATAAATAAAACGTCAAATTAAATAGAAAGAACATTAAAAAAAATTATAAAAAATGTATTTTATTTTTTTTTCAGTTTTCCGAAAGACAAAACTACAAACAACTTAAAATGACCACCAATCCAAAAAAATTGGAATTTGGATCAAAACCCAGAAAAAATGCATAATATAGGGATATTTTTGTAGTTTTGTTTATTTAAAATTCAAGACAGAAACATATTTTTATTTTTAACACAAAACAAAAACCTATATCTTGAAACCAAAACAAAAACCAATAAATACTCTTTCCATCATTGATTGTCTTCCGTTTTCCAATATATTTGATTCAAAAACCAATATCTTCAAACCATCTTATATATTACTTAAAATTAACAAAAATACACTTACAGGCAAAATATATAAGTTCCTAAAAAAAATAGTTTTTTGCAAATCTATTTATTTATCAATTAGGTTTATTAAGTTTTAAAGTTGTTTTATTTTGCAAAATAGTGTAGCATATGGGTTGTAATCTAGTTGTTTAATAAGTTGGTGCGATACCCTTAAATCGACCACTAAGTAACTAATTTATTTCTGATCAATTGCGGAGCCACATTAAGACAATGGTGGGCCTTGGCCCACCCACACATTTATTTATATATATAAAATGTTGGGCTTCTATTGTCTATGACACACTCAAAATCAAACAAAGAATGAATATGTGTTACTGTTTATACCTCAAGTCTCAAGAATATATGATTCCATTTTTTTCATTAGTCCTCAAGTCTCAAGAATATATGATTGGTTTCTTTGATAAATTGGTTTCATTAAATAAGTTACAGGTCGAAACAAGTAATTATTTACAATATTGCTTTCTTTAGTAACTTAGTTTGATTGGAATAAAGAAAATTTTGGAACAAATAA